AAGCTAAATTAAATAGCACTTTGATAATCAAGCAAAAAACAAAAAGTATGTTTTGCCCAAGACAAGTCTGTAGTCCATTCAAACAGTAAAGCTGAAGCTGAAAGTCTGATTGAAAGGACAACAATGAATTCACACCTGGCTTTAGAATGCAGAGAAAAAGAGCAAAGGAGCAGAGTGAATTCAATCCAGCCAAAGAACTCATGTAAGTAATAGGCAACTCATTTCTACCAGACAAACCCTGATGATTCTTCTACATCCTATATATTACACAGATGTCTCTATCTTAAAAAAATAAATAAAAAAAAAAAAATCCAACCCAAAACAAATCAAGCCACAAAAATGTCCAAAAGCATATTTTTTCCTGGATTAACCTAGACCCCTACCAGTACCTACCACCCCCTTATGAAACCTCTGGCACAGACTTGCATGCACTCTGTACTTTGTACTTGTTGCAAATTCCTCTTAGCAAGGTGGGAAAAACGGAACCCAATGTTCATGAAATTGATATCTTGCTTATGCAGCCTGGGCTTTCATATTCCTCCTGCCATCGCAGCACAGCTCTCTGGGCCTTTAGTTTCCAGACTCTTCATCTGCTAATTTCCCATGATTCTGGGAGCTGCATATCTGCAGGAACAAATCCATTTGCAGGAAATTCATCCTTCTGAACTACCAAGAGGTGCTCTCACACAAGACAATATCTAGAATGGGTAATTTCATGGGTGCATATGCTAAGGTAAGAGCAGAGACCATGGCAACATAATGCCTGAGGAACATGAGCAGTCCCCATAGTCAGCTAGGTTAGAAACATCTTGCATCCATACTCTGAAACTGCGTACAGCAACTGCACTGGACATAAAGTGGCAGCTCACCTGGGCTAAACAGAAGAAAGCATGAATTCCTTTACTATTTACAACGGTAAAGAAAACACTGCAACATGGTGGCAAGTTATCACAAGCCCGTGCCATTACTGGCCCAAATCCTCAATCACAGCACTCCAGTGGTTTACGGGCAAATTAGTGTAATTCTGCTACTTGCACCGGGGTTTGTGTGTAAGTACCAGATAAACTCAGCATCGCAGACCACTGATGGACCCTACTTCAAAACCTTCTCTCCATATCACCAAACCCAGCAGTTTCCATGGAATGAATTAACCCCAGCACGGTATTAATGTGACTGCTTGTGGTATCTAAATCAAGCTCCATACAAAAGATGAAATAAACAGGACTGCAAATTAATCCACGTTTCAAGACTAAGTACTGGTAATTAGGCTATTTACTCTTTTTCATATAATTTCAAATGGCTGGAAATTTAGCTGTAGCTAAAGCAGCAATATGGGTTATACAGATAGAGTTTCATGTGCACAATAAGTCTGTATAATCAGCACGTTAGTGTTGTTTCCCTATGCAGATGAATTAACTAGTATCTGACGCAGTAAGAAATCCCAGCACATCTCAACAAGGCTTTACAGGCTCTGAAAGACTCTCTGGCTATCTTCTGCCATTGCTCACCAGCTACACACAGCATGCTCATGCTTCTTCCAGCATCGTGTTAGAATAGCAGGGGGAAGGAGAGCAAGAAAAGTTTTCTTCAGTGTCCTCCACCTGGACATCTATGTGTTTACAGCAATATAAAGAAGCAATTTTTGCATCTTTCCCATGACCAGCAGTCTCTCTTACCCACTTTTATGTTGCATCTGTTCTCTCCTTCCAAGACTGTAGATATTGGAGAAGTAAGATTTGTCTTTATAAAGTACTTCTTCCTCTCTATCCCCATGCTTAAAAGTGAGGGTCAAAACCAGACTACCAGTGGTGCAACCAACACCGTGGACTTCTTTCTGGTGGAGGCAACACAGCTGTGACCTGATGGTGCTGGTACTTTCTTCATCTTAACTATTCTCAGGTACTTTAAAAACATATTAATTCCCTTGCAGGCCCTATGATGCATTCATCCACATATGGGCACTTCATGGAAGTGATTTTGTGGGGAGCCCATGAAACCTCTAGCTTTAAAATTCTATTCCACCCAAGGGCACAGACATTTAGTGCATGTGTGCATCACCTGTAAAAATACCAGACCCCAAATCATTGTGTGCTGGTTTTTAATTGCATTATCTGGATAGCATATAGTGCAAAACCAGCACACAGACCATATTGCTTTCACGTGTGATTAAATTCTGAAGCTCTTCAGGATGTCTCTTGTTCTGAAGGTTACTGAATGCTGCAATCATTTATGCCCTCTCTCAGCAGTGGACACACTGTCATTTCCCTTTGCACCCAGACCCCAACTTGGAAGGCCAGGCGCAAGAGTCAAGTGCTGCTAACTCTATGCCAGCTCTCCATTTGAAAGTAATCCTGTTTGACAAACCACAGCCAGATCATGCTAGTCCTATTACTCTCCTGTAGCTCTGCAGGTGGACCTCTGCATTCATTTTATGCCAACTTCAATCAAGATTAATCTGCTGCTTTAAAATTACTTGGAAGAACCCTTAAACTTTATGTATTCCTACACCAACAACCCCTAGAGAAACATACAGAAACCAAAGACAATTTCTTTAAAATATTAAATTTTAACAGTTTTCTTATTTTATAGTACTGAAAAGTATACAGAGTGAAAACAAAACCCAAGCAGGTCATGATGATTAGAAATATTCACCTAAAGAGGGTAAATACCTGCACCTGTTAACCAAAGATGACTTTTTATTAGGTACACTAGAAGTATCTTAATATACATTACTCATCTATGAGGCAGATTCACTGTCCAGGGAAGTAAATACATGCAAGCATGATGTTCTTATATGCACATATAGTCTTAAGTGCAAAGCAGAAACACCAGCAACCTTTAATGTAAGTATTAACAGAGATCAAGGTTGGCCTAGTAGTACTGCTATGGTCCCGCTGGGGTCTTCCCTGTAATCTCATAAAAAGGAACAAAAAAACCAAAACCAAACAAAACTGAAACCAAACAACCAACAGAAAATTCCGTAAAGTAAAGCAGCAGTGAAAGTACAAGTTATCCCCATACTGCTTCAGAAAAAGTTTGTTATAGCAGTGGCAGGATATATATACATATATATATAAAACTCTTCAAAGGCATGTTGAGGGCTGACAAAGAGAACAGTATACTCCAATAATCCATGTTAAATGCAGATTATACCAATGTAATCCAGTTGCTATTTCAGATTATTGTGCTCCATTTGATAATTTCATACTTTTTTCCTATTAGGTACACATGGGAAGTGTCTCTGAGCCTCCTTTACCACCTAGAGTTTCCACGCAATGGGAAGACTGATGGAACGAGAAGCCCATTGTGGTGCCCTTCATCCTTAGGCTAACAATAAAGTGTCAAAAGGTTTTGTAGCAACAAAATTGTCCCAGCCTGTCAGGCCTCAGCATGGACAGTTTGACACTGCCAGACCATAACCACATCTCATGGCCTTTGACAGACTCACTGAAGAGCTACATGCACAGGTTACGGCAACCCAACTAGGGCAGATTTATCCTGCCACTGTCAGGACAAACTTGTTCTGAAACAATATGGGGATAACTTGTACTTCTGCTGCTGCTTTAATTTAGGGATTTTTCTGTTGGTTGGTTGGTTCCAGTTTTGTTTGTTTTTTTTTTATGAGATAGCAGTACTACTAGGTCAACCCTGATCTCTTCATAGAACCAAAGAAACATAGAATACCAGGTTGAAAGGGACCACAAGGATCATCTGGTCCAACCTGTCTAAGCACAGCATGACCTAAACTAGATGTCCCAGCTCCCTATGCAGCCGAATCTTAGAAGTGTCCAGCGTTGGGGAATCCACCATGTCCCTGGGGAGATTATTCCAGTGGCTGGTTGTTCTCACTGTTAAAAAATTTTCCACCTGTCCCCAGCTAGACTCTCCCCAGGAGTAACTTGTGCCCATTACCCATCTTTTCTATGTGACTTCTTGTAAAAAAGGAGTCTCTTGTCTTCTTTGTAGCCACCCTTTAAAAAATGGAACATTTTGATAAGGTCTCCCCGAGCCTTTTTTTCTCAAGGCTGAACAAACCTAGTTCTTGTTAAGTAAGGATCAGCATCTATCTTTAAAAAAAAAGAAAATTAAATCCACATGGACACCCTTTAAACTTCTATGCACATTTATTTTCCATAACCCAGTGAACAACTATCACATAAATCCTCCACAGACCTACCTACACACAAATTTAACCCTACTATCCAGGTTATCCCAAGAGAAAAATAATTACAGGAAACCCATCATGATAAAATAAGGCCTAGTCTGCAGGATCTCAGCCGGCGACTGTGCTCAGCAGGGTCCTCCAAAACGCACCGAACTCAAGAGGACAGCCTGATAACACTCGGGCCTCCGCACAGTGCTGCTGCATTTAGAAACTTCTCACTCGCCGCCCATCCATGTCTCCTCACCACGGCCACCCTCCCCGTACACCACACACCCGGTGGGCACGACTCGAGTCTAGAAAACCTCCCCCATGGCAAAAGGCCAGGTTGCACATCCCCCCCCCAGCAGCCCCGCACTTTGCCCAGTTAAAGTCTTTACGTCCGGTACTCAAACTACTCCAGACACCAGTGACTCCCTACGCACGCCGCCTCTGAGCCCAGCTGCCCGCACCGCCCTCCCCCCCCACGCCCCGCCGGGCTCCGGAGCTGACGGGCCGACCCGCCGCGGCTTCCCGCGGGCCGCACCGGACACCCGCTTCCCCGGGGACTTGTTGGGCGCAGGCCTGTCCTCACCGGCCCCCCTCCACAGCACCCGGCCGCGCCGGGGACCGCCTCGCCGACAGCCGGCTCACACCCCCTCACAGCCCCGCGGACAGCCGCAAGCCACCCAGCCGCGGTGGGACAGAGACTGCCCCCATCCCGGCTCAGGGAACCCGCCTGCCCCGCCCCGCCAGCCCGGCACCCCTGTCCGGACCCCTCCACCGGCACTAAGATGAGTCGGGCCGGGCGGCTGCCGCTACAGTCGCACTCCCGCCTCACCCCCCAACGGGGACGCACCTTGAGGCTCCCGCGGAGGGGACCCTTGCCGTGTCCGGTCACCGCTGGGGGGGGACTCCCCAGGCCGCCCTCTTCTTCTTCCTCCTCCTCCTCTACCTCCACCACCACATCCTCGTCTTCGTCCTCCTCCTCCAGCGCCGCAGCGGAGCCCTCCCGCCGGGGCGGCCTCCAGGCGCTCTCGGGCTTGGGGAGCCGGCCCGCGTCCGCCTGCGCGGCGACCGGCCCGGCGCTCAGCCGCCGGCTGCCCATGCTGGAGCGCTTGGCCAAGCGCCGCGCCTGCATGGTGCCTCCTCCTCCGCCCGGTCCGGCCCGGCCCGGCCCGGCCTGGCCCTGCCCGCCTCGCCTCCCGCCGCGCTCAGCCCCGGTTGCGGGTAGCGGCCCCGCCGCGGGCACGCAGCGGCAACGCCGAGCCCCAGGGGCGACGGCGGCGCTCACCGGGGGGCGGCGGTGGGTGTGTGCGGCGGGCGCGGCGAGGCCATGGGGGCCCGCGGGCGCGGCGAGGCGGGCCCGGTGGCGGCGCTGCCGCCCCGCCGCTCGCCCACCTGCTCCAGCCGCCTTCCTCTTCCTCCGCCGGCCTGCCCTCCCGGCTCGGTCCGGCTGTCGGGCGCGGTACGGGGTCTGCTCCCGCTCGCCCTTCCTATCCGCCGCCGGTCCCCGGCACCAAAACCCGGACTGGATTCCCGCCGGCCGCGGCTCCGCCAGGCGCTGTGCGGAGCGCCGGGGCCGCACTGCTTCCGCCCGCAACCGCGGGCCGGTTTTCCTGCGGAGTGCCAACGGCTGCGCCGACCGCCGGCTTCGGCCCTGGTGGGAGCAGGGTGCAGGTCCGTACTCGCCGGCGCGTCCCTTCCTGCACCCCGCCGCGTTTAGTCAGCGCGAACGGCAGGAGGGCTGGGAAGCGGGACGGGCAGGTGTCCCGGGCCTGGGTGGCATGAAATGGTTTCACCTCTCCCCAGAAAACATGAATGGGAGAAATAGAACTTTTGGGGGGAAAAGCTGAGAAGGAGCTGGGGGGTTAGGGAGGTTCAATACGAAAAAGCAGAACAATTAACACCCTGTTGAGGAGAACACTACCCGCAATAGCTAGGGAAATAATTTCCTGTTGAAGTTGTAGTACTTATGCACTTTAAGCTTTAAAATACCTTTCTGAAAAGTGTTTTTAAATTAATAGTTTCCAGAGTTTTAAGTTACTGCAGTCACTATTTAAATTTATTATCGGCTTCTATACCATTTATTAAAGCCTCCTGAGACCGAGTTAACTGAGACTTCAGTTTGTCACATGCTTTTTCTAACCTGTTCCTCTACATATAAGCTTTAAGTCTGTATTTACATGTTATTTTTGAGCCATATATATTCTTTTCTATTTACCAGTGAAGGACAGTAATTCCCTTTTCAGTGCTCAGTGCCTTTCTCCACACACATTCTATTTGAGAGAGGTGCCAGTAGGCCAAATGTACACATAACAGCATGGGGCCATGCTTCACCTCTAAAGCTGGGTTAACTTGTTCCTGTCAAAAAGTAATGGTATTTATTCATTTCAGAATATAGCATGCAGCATGTTCTATGTGAGAAATGATGGATAATACAGTACCCATTCTTAAAGATATGTTACTTTACATGTCAACCCAACCCCACAAACCAGTTGTTTTCATTTGTTCTTCCAAGATTTCCAGTTTGACAGTGAAGTTATGCTTATGTTTTGCCTTAAACATGAATTCTGCCATGAATTTAAATGGTATTCTCAGTTCCCTCAGACTTGTACCTCAAAGGTACAGAAACTGAATCATTCAGATACGTCCTAGTATTAAAATTATTTGAAATACTTCATGTCATTTGAATATCACTTCAACCCAATGGTGATCATCTGTAGAGGCCTGTGTTCACAGTTATCTGTGATATGTGATTATAATCCTGTTACTGAAGGTCCCACTCCTATCAGCCACATACTGGGATGCGCATGAAGAGACTCCTTGACTTTCTCAAAGCTCTGCATGTTTTAATTGTAGCAAAACCAGAACCAGCCTTAGAAATTCTATGCACCTAATCACTGGATTGGATTATATTTTCTAGCATGAACACCACAAATGACACAATGGAGACCAAAGGATCTCTTGTGGAAAGTAGTGATGATAAAGAGTAGCTGGGCTTGCACAGACATGTCTGTTGACTTCCAGCACTGCTCACATTTCAACCTCTGTTTGAACTCTGTATTCAGCCATTCCATCACATTGGTTCCAGGAACCCTGTGTAAAATACAGCTGACTTGACACCTCTTGCCCTGAGGTTTTGCTGGGTGAACATAAAAAGAGACTGTTAACCAATAATCATCAGGCTTTCAGTTGTCAGTTCAGCAACAATCGTTTCAAAAACTCCTAGCTGGGCTCTGTTTTGGGAGCATGGTGGCAGGAGGCAGAGAGGCTCAGGCAGGTTCTTAGGGACATGCAAAACATCCCAGTCCTGCCTGCTGGCCAGCAGGAGGCTGCCCCCTCCTCAGGGATGCTGTCTCTTGTCCTTCCGTAAGGCTCCAGCAGATCATGGCCCCTCAGCTCTCAAAGCAGAGCAGGAGAGTAGGTGAGCCCTGGAAAAGTTGGACAGCGTGGATGAGGAATAGCGCATCTGAATTCTGGTGGAGGGAGAGGTGGCAAAAGAGTTTTGGGGGCAGTAGGGATAAGGAAAGGCAGTCCAGAGTTCACTAACAGGCAGGGCAATCCTGGGAAGGGGTTCAGAGAGGAATACTGACTTTTGATCAGTAATCTGAGCTGCTAATGCTTTTTATTTCCGCTGGGTTATCAAATGCAATGAGATGCCCGTGTTGACAACTCTACAACAGACTGGTTAAAGATTTCTAGCACTTCTAAGGCGAGCCAGATTGGAGCTGTAGTAAGAATAGCTTCTCTCACAATATTTGATACACACAGAAGATAGAAATGACTTTGCTCCATTTCTTCCAGTCTGTCTGACTTGCAGTATGAATGGAGCTGAAGCTGAACCCATTTCCCTCTCAGTGATTCCCAGACAAGTTATGGAGGAATTTTTCTAAGGATGGTCAGGGAGTCCTAGATACAGTTCTCCTCAGTGTCTTTACATTCACAAATAGCGAAGAGACAAATACAAGCCATAATCCACTCGTACCTGTCAACATTTTTTCCCTGAGACTCAGTCTTAGCACTCTTGGGGTGAACTGCTGAACAATTCTGGCCCACAGCCACATCCTGACATCAAGTAAACTTGTGTGAGTAATATGGTATCACTTCACTCAACAGAGATAGCTCCTGATTGTGCTACAGCATAATACGTCTAATGAAAGTACACACTCTGGCTGTAGTAATAGCTGTTCACATGTCAATGATTTCCAAGCTTATTAAAAGTTAATGTGCACATTCACACTTCCTTCGTGTACACAGCTTTCCAACACAGCACAAGTGTTTCAGATGCTTCTTCACCTCTAACCTTAGCAATCAGTTCATATTTCCAAACAAGAAATGTCTCTAAGACATACAAGACAATTCTACTGATAATTATATGTAAGTATATATCCCCCTACAGAAGTTTTTCTAGAACATTCTGTAAAGGTGAATTACAGTGACAGCTTTGCAGTTCATCTTGAATAATTATTGTCTAACTTCTTTCAGGAAACCTACTGGGAAGTTCCATGCCGCTAGCCACTGAAAAAATGTAACTTTCCCTGGCATTGACTTCTCCTGATTAAAATCTGGTAGAGTTTTCTTATGATACATACTTTCTCCAAACATTTTATACAGTCCATCTCTCAGTTAAGCATTCCTCTCATTTTAATATAATTATTCACTGATCCGTTTGACATTTTGTTCTATTCAGCTACTGCTCCTTTGTACTGTGATCATGACTGCAGGCACAGCTTGCCTGACACCACACTGGGGAGAGTTCCTTTTGCTGTGGAAAGCAGAGATTCTTCCATAACGTTCAGGCAGGCATTACTCCATAACCATCCTGCTTTCTGGTCCCACAACTGCTTCCAGCAGGGATGACCTGATCTATCAACAGTGCAGCTGCCAGCAACAAGCACTAGCCATGGCTACCACGCGCTGGTAGGGGTGTGCTGTAGTTTGCCTCACACAAGCCTGCAGATACATAGCTGTGTGCAGTTTTCTGGACCAGCCAGAATCCTGCCTTGGCTAGCCCTGCTTTTTCTTTCCACTTCTTTTTGTTTCTGATGTGCCTGCAAAAAAAATACATTTCCTGATTTATTTTGTTTCATCTCTGAATATTTTTTCCCCTTGTCCATGAATGCCAGCTTTTTATCACTAGAGGCAAGATGCCCTCTGCTCCTACCTCCTCCCAGACTGATGCTATGCTGCAGTTCCATGGCTTTAAAAAAAGTCTAGCAACAAAAGGAAGCAAAGAAACCCTCAATTTTCTGCACATTCAATCACCATCTTTTTTTTAAACACAACCTGCTTGAGTAGCCCTTCACTTTTCACTTTTCAGAGTGCAACAAATGTATTTGTTTGAGCTTTAGTATTCAATCCAGCATGTGCACTAACCGTGTGTGTGTTCCACTTCTCTCATAATCCCAGGCATTTGAGTCCCTGCCAACTTCTTTATTTGGGGACCTGCCTTCTCCACACCCCCTTTGTAAACTTCGCATTTGTTTTGCTTTATAGTGATCGCTGAAGTTCTCACTCCAGCTGGGAGGACAGCCAGGCACCTTCAAGAACAAGGGAATGATTGACAATATTAAACAGAAAATTGTCTACCAGATGCTGTTCAAAAGGAGAGGTGGCAAACTCCTGACCCCCTTCTCAGTGAGCAACATCATCCATTCTGCTACATGCCTCTGCCCTGCTCATCAACTGATCGGGGAGCACAAGGTCACTTCTGCGTCTGGCTGTTGTGCAGTGACATGCTACCCTGCAGATAAGGCTATGTCTTCTGCTTGAAGGAAGCTCTGGTGCCAGCCATGCAATGGAATGAAGCATAAAAATTAATCAGCCATTATGTATTTTAGTGTGAGGTGTCCCAGCCCATGGCAGGGGGTTAGAACTAGATGATCTTAAGGTCCTTTCCAACTCTAACTGTTCTATGATTCTATGACTCTGACAAGTTACTGCTCCAAAGCATTGGCTAGTTCTGAATAATCTTACTGGTATGGAAAGGAGTTCTGGGTAGTCCATCCTTGGACTGTGAGAAAACAAACATCAATTGGAACTGCACAGCTTTTTTAAAGGCTCTCCCCAGATTTTGGCTGTTGTCAATTACTAATTTCATGCATTTTACATGCTTATGCCTCTTAAAAAACCTTGTTTCCTAGAAAAAAAAAAAAAAGGCCAGTTCATTGGAGTTTCATGCTAGTACTGATACAGTGATTCCAGATCCTTTTTATTCAAATTAACTAGTCTGAGGAAGACGAAGGGATGAATTTGAAAAAAGGAAGACTAACATTTTACCCGTGAAGAACAAAAAGAGAAAGAAAACACTTTTTCTTAACAAAAGCAGTGCAGGACAGAAAAAAACCCGAACTACAAACACAACCAGTTAACACTGAGGGCTGAAACACATAGGCCTCTGTAATGCAAATGCTTGAGCACATAATAGAAATAACTATATATACAGGTTTGGGTTTGCTTTGTTTGTTTTTTGTTTGTTTACACAAAACCCCTATTTGGGGGAGTTTCAAAGCTGTTCGTGCTCATTCATGTGTAGTAAAAGGAGTGTGAACAACAGCACTAAAATGACCCCTAAAATGATACCCTACATTATTAAAGGAAGGTTATAGAAATGGAAGATGGTAACTGAAATCCTATTTTAAGTAAGTGTATTCATTGTCTTAACTTAGGTGGACATTCCCATGTAAGTTAGATTGAACATATCTTAAGAAAACTGCAAGACTGGCATGTCAACTTCTCAGTGAAGTGTCACTCTTCTTGATTCATAGTGTCAAGGCTGAATTTGCAGAGGTAGCAATAACACATAAAATAACTATTCTTTCCAAAATGAACAAATTAGATCAGGCACTCAAAAACATAAACATTACAGGACCACATAAAACAGTACTTGCAGAATCACTTCTTAATGGAAACTCCACTGTAGATCTTGTGGAACCACAAAAAAAGGCTGTACAGCTGTCAGTCAACACCAGCAATAAAAATATTTACTCCAGTAAGTTGAGCAGTAAGTACAATTTTATTTTGATCAACTCACTGTCATATAGTCTTATTTGCATAAATTCTTAACTCTGGAGAGTAACACTCTGCTTTGAAAAGGTCACCCACATTTTTTTGGCTTGTTACCACATTGACATTAACCCTGAAGGCTCTTTAAGTAAACAGCACTGTAACCAATACCTAAGGGAAACACCAGGTAACTTGAGAATCCCCCATACCTCAAAGATTTCATTAATCAGCTGAAAGCCTGTCACTAGCTTGAGATGTAGGAACCATTTTCAGTGGTGTACAAGTTCATACTCTCTAGTGAATACAGAGGACTCATTACAGGTAACTTTCGGTTTTGTGGTGTGGGTTTTTTTTGTTCTTTTGTTTTGTTTTCTTGGTTTTATTTTTTTTTGCCTTTTTTCCCCAGGGAAGAAGTGCTCCTTCCCGCCAATTCCTCAGGAGTCTTCAGACAAAACCTGACAGATTTGATAGTCCGGGTTATCCCTAACAAAAAAGGCTGAAAAAGACAACTCCAGACTATTCTGCTTTCCTCCTCCGTCCTCATTCGGGAACGAGCTGCCGCGTTGTTCCTGGGAAAACCCGGTTGACCTTGCGCCTCCCCCACCCTGCTCTCCTCCATAAAAAATGACACGCATCCCTCCCCTCCACCCCGGACCTGGAAGGGCACAAATAAAACGGACTCTCCCCCTCCAGCCACATGCCCTTTACAGTCACACCGAAGAGGAGGCGAGTGAGGCGCCCGCAGAGACACGTCGTGGCTCGACACCGCCGCTGGACGCGTAAGGACAGGCCGAACTCCCGCAGCCCTCGCTCCATGCTCCAGCCCGCGATCCTGTTCAGCTTTTGCCTCCGATTTCTCCTCCTGCCGGCAGAGTGCGGCCCGTAAACATGTGCGGCCCTGTCAGCGGGGTCCGCCATGCCCGCCGGGCGCGGGCCGCCCGTTGCGCAGCAGCGAGGCAGGGACAAGTGGGAGCGTAGCGGGCGCTCGCTGCGCTGAGGGGAATGGGAGGTGGCGGCGCTCGGCGGAGCCGCGGACCGGGCCGGTGGGGAGGGCGGGACAGCCCGGGGGTCTCGCTCCGTCGGTGGGCAGAGGAGACGCGGAGGCCCTAGCGCCCTCGGCGTGCCGCACTCCGCTGCCTTTCCTACGCGATGGCGGAGGTGGGCGAATGGGCTGGGCTCTGTCTCTGGCCCACCCCTCCCCCGCAAACCACAGTCGTTCAGCCCCCTGCGCTTGCCATGTGAGGTGCGGACAGTGCGGTAATCAGTGCTGCAGCTAGGTATCAATAAACATTTAACTTCCCCCATTACTGAAATCGGAGGATTCTGTAAGACTTTCAGCTCCCTTAAGCAAACAAAATCTTGGTAATCTTCTTCAGGGCAAAAAAAAATGTTTTGAAACTTGATACGAACAAACAGAAATCAGCAAATACATAAAACGACCCAAACTCGGCTCAGTCACACCTCATGATTGTTGAGATAAATGGAGTAACTGGGAATTTATGACTTGTATTGTATAAGGACAATATGTACTCCAGCGGTTAATACATAATACAAGTGTAAGCCTCCAATATTAAACACATTGTGGGTTTTGGGTAGAATATGCTTAGTATAAAACGCAGTCAAGGTTACAACTAATTGCTGTGGCAAGTTCAGTTCTTCAGCTGCAGCAACTCTCCCCAGGAAATGGCAAAAGCTCTTACATTTCACATACTAAATCTCATTTATGTCTCTGGCTGTGGTGGCTGGGGCTTTGGTTTTGTTTTGGGAGGGAAGATCTTGTGAAACTGAAAAACTCAGTTTTGAAGTGGTGATGTTTTAAGCGTTTTCTTGTGATTATTATATCAAGTGTAATGCTTTGGCTTAAATTTCTGAGGCATTTAAATTAATTTTTGGTGTCTAAGTGGTTGGGGTTTTTTTAGACTCACTAGAGTGATCCTGTTTTGCTGGCTTCCTTTGGTAGTGGTGTGTTGTATTTTAATCTATGATCTGTGTAAGCAAAAATAAAACCTTGCGGGTACTGAAAGTGTTACTAAATTACAAACGGTTCATTTCCAGTGTTTGTAGAACAAACTTATTTGTGTATAAACATTCTGTTGTTTTTTTTTTTTTAATATGAACAAACTGCTATACCAGGCAGTTGTTGTGGGAGGAGCGGAGCAGCAAGGAGGAGGGGAACGCAAGGAGAAGCCAACCCAATTCCCCTTGGAGGCTTTCCCTCCTCTTGGTGTTGGAGATACTTGATCAAAAGGTGCTGGCACAATGCACGACTTTGGTGTAGATGGCAAGACAGTGAGTTTCACTTGAGCTACAGTTTAATGAAGCATCTACTGCCTTACCCGAGTTAGTGATTTGGAACATGTTAGATACACAGTTATCAAAGCAGAAAACAAAGGCAGAGTGAAGCATTTCAGGGAAGCACAACATATAGAAGGAGCAACAGGAATGGCAGAGGATGTCTAGTCACAGAGGAAGGACAGCAAAAGAGGAGAGAGGGAGCAGGGGCATCAAGTAGTGGGAATGGGAGCATAGTCCTGAGGCAGTGCATGATAGCAGAGATGTTGATGAAACCAGTGACTTTGTTCCTAATATTTATCTCTTTAGGGTTTTCCCTTGAACACAACTCTCCTTCACAGGCAGTTTACCGGGACAGGGGAGAAGTAGGTAATAAAACTGACATTACGCCCATGTGAAAGAGGCTTGGTATAATTATGCATGACACAGGTAAGCGTCCCAAAGGTATCTGATGCAGCTCTTGTTAAAAATTTGGACCATTTTCTTTCTGTGTCTCAGTTTCTGAGGTCACATTGCCCCTCAATCTGCTCACAAGTTCAGCTGTCTGCAAAGCCTACATTTGGGAGACTTGGGACCTAGATTACCATTTCCCTCCAATAGTGTGGAGTTCTTACAGAACACTGATTTTAGATGAGAATTAACCTCTTCTGCCACAGAGCATTAGGTGAGCAGCCTGTCACATGAATTATTATTTTGAGGATTTTAAGTTTAATAACTAACGTGTAGCATAGTTCTTTCAAGAAGGAATTAGTTAACTGTCACCGTCTATCCCTGCTAGTTATCTGTAAGCAGATTAAAGAGAATGATACTGCTTTTGCACATGCATTTTGCAAATGTAGTCCTTGGTTGTACTCTCTGTTTTGCAAATTGCAGACATTGAGATGAAGGGTCTATAATTTTCTAGCTTGCCTTTCTCTTGGAACACTGGAGCTGCACTGGCACGCATCCACTTTGCTGTGACTTCATTTGAATACAGCAAATTCTTTATTATGATTAACAAAGGCTTGCTCTCTGGTCTGCTTCGAATCTCAGTCTGCTCATGGAGATTAGTGGGTTTTGAGCAATGCCAACTCACTAAATATCTCCGCTTCACTGATCTCAAAGACATTTGTGACAATGGGTTTAGTAGTCATTTTCATACGTGTTCTCGCCTTTGAATGGATAATACCTTAGTGGTTCTGCTTTCCATTGCTGTTTGATCCTCCATCTCATTGAAAAGG